TTTACTGTTTCAGCATACCCTCCAATGCTCCAACCTGTTAACAAGAGCAAGACCGCACAGGATCTTCAAATGCCTACAGTGTTCTCAGTAAATCCCTGGCCGCGCCTGCAGATGCAGCGTCAGAAAGCCCACTACCTCCGCCAGAGGATGCCGATGCCCCAAAGAGGCTGCTACCCGTACCTGCAGCACCAAAGAGGCCGCCTGCAGAAGAAGCACCAGTGCCGGCGGTGACAGATCCGGTTGAACCAAACAAACCTCCAGATGTGGCGGAGCTGGTGCTACCAAATAGACCCGTGCTGCTACTTGCAGGGGCGCTGCCAAACAAGCTTCCACTGCCGCTTGAAGCAGCGCCGAAGAGGCTGCCGCCACCGCCGCTAGAGGCGGCACCACTGCTTGCCGCACTGCCGAATAAGCTGCCAGCAGCGCTTGCGCTGCTGCTGGCCGCGCCGCCTCCAAACAGGCTGCTACTGCCGGCTCCAGAACTGGCACTGCCTCCAAAAAGGCTGCCAGCTCCACTGCTCACATTTCCACCACCAAAAAGACTGCCGGCCCCACTGCCCGTGCTCCCGCCTCCAAAAAGCCCGCCAGCACCGCCGCCAGAACTTTCTCCAAACAAGCTAGCGCTGCTGCTTGCACCACCTGCTCCTCCAAAAAGGCTTGTGCTGGATCCTGTACTAGCACCACCGAACAAGCTACCACCTGTGCTGGCACCGGCAGCAAACGGGCTGCCACTACTGGCACCAAAGAGGCTAGCACCTCCGCCGCCTCCGCCGGAGCTCGCTGCTCCAAACAAGCCGCTGCCACCTCCGCTGGCCCCGAAAAGGCCGCTGCTGGAAGTGGCCCCTCCTCCGATAGAATCTAAAATTATCTCATGAACATGGGTTTGGGTGGACCAGCTATGTACAACCAAATGAAAACACTATTTCTCGTACATCTCCTGTTGGCGCGCCAAAAGGGCTTCCTGAGCTGGCCGCGCTGCCACCAAACAAGCTGCCGCCAGCCGAAGAAGCACCGCCAAACAGCCCGCCGCTTCCTGCATCAGGTCAGCACGTGATCTTCAATGAAAGCTGATTCCCCATTTATCTGCGTCTTATGAGTGACACATCTCGAACTCCACCACAGGGATTACCATTCCAACAGAAAACCCTCATGTGACTACCATCCTGTCCCTTACAGCAAATCTAATCAGAATGGGGGCATGAGATTTTTTCCCGGGCTCATACCTTCCATTTACCGTCTAAGGCTGTGTCAATTGAAAAATATCACATGCAAAATGCTGGTAGACTGCAAACATAACGGCCCTCTTCGCCTCAGAAAATCTCCTCGACACTCCAACGGTACCCCAAACCCAAATTCCGCATGTAATCTATGCCCTACCTGGACCTCCAGAATACACCTGGCAATAGGCGCATGCCCATTATTTCGGGGAAACGCCATCACTATAGTTATTCGGGAAGTCTAGGTCGCCCGAAGCCTTGAACATTTGGGAGTTTCTCCAAATTGGAGCCTCGAGGGATCCCAAAAGATACATAGGGATTCTGAGAGGTTCATGGGGGAATACCTTTGTGATGCAGCCTCCCCCGCTGCTTGCACCTCCGCCGAAGAGGCTGCCTACCGGATGACAGGTTACGGCAAAAGAAGGGCTTAGGGCATTGAAGGGTTTACTCTTTACCCTACGCCCTATAAATCCTACGCCCGATAATTAAGCCCTAAGCGCTAAGCCGTCAACCCAAATTGAAACCTCTTGGTGTAAGGCTCGGAGTATTTCAGAGAAAAAATGAATGACAACCTCAGAAATTATACGTAGGGAAGGAAAAGGAAAATGCGAACTTTTATGCTATCTAGGGTTTAGGACTGATATTCAGACCCTCACCCGATCCATTATTGAATTAATCAAATTGTGGTAGACTGTAGTATATGAGAAATATTCAGTATTGGGGGGGTAGGGGTTCTGATGTTAGCGCTCGATTGGTTGGGGTCTCTGAACTCTTCTGAGGTCGGTATCGTCAGGATTCGATGCTATTGAGCAACATACGCGAAGTACAGTCAACAAACGTCTAAACATACACTTCCTCAACCCTAACGACCCTCAATACACTTCCTGATCACATCTGATCACTATTGCAGAGCTCCGGATATTGGATTTTGGGGTATGCAAGCCCTCTGGGGAATAGGAATAAGGTTCAAAGCCTGAGAATGCATGGGATCCACTGAGCTCCTGTTCCTCTCAAAGAAAGGTTTTGTGCTCACCCAAAACTGAAGCATCTTCATGGCAAAGTGCCGGCAACGTTGAATGTTGCCTTTACCGCAGGCACCCGATGCAGCGTATCTAAATCCAACTTGACTTGTGGCAGGTGCCAACCCAATACGACTAGAAAGCTGGGGTTATAGGGTATGTGTGTATATATGTGGGGGTAATATAAGGATAATGGAAACATGGAAACTAGTATCAGAGCAACAAGAGCAACGATAGCAACAAGAGCGGCAGCAGCGGCCGCGGCAGCAGCAGCAAGAAGAAAAATAGCGGTATTCTGTCATGACCCTTCCACGACAACATGGATGGACCCTTCACCCCAGGGAATAATCGGCAGGCCTCCACCTCCACTTCCAAACATGGCTGGGCTGAGTCTTCCTCTTGAGCCGTGCGAGCCAGAACCAACATTACGGGGTTGCTGCTAAGGAGCTTAAACTAAGTGACCATAATGATTGCCATAGTGAGTCTATAAATGTATTTGTAAACCAACAAATATGGTTCCCTCAGCGTGGCAACTTGGCTTTAAATTCCTTAGGAGCAACCCAGATTATGCATTAGGTCTTGCCCCTACCCAGCAACAGTTTTAGATAATCATCTTACCTTGTGGGTATATTCTGAATACTCAACCTATTACAATCTGCTACGGGGCACGGGTAGTGCCAGATTCTGCACCTGTTGCGAGAAAGGTCAATCTGGACTCAGAAGAGTCTCTGTGGCGGTTGCTCGACAACCGCGTTCTGCGCAAATTCCCAGACGACCCAACAAGCTGTCTAAGGGATGCTGGCTATATAGGAAGGTTCTAGCAAGGGTGATGAGGCAAAACATGTGTATCAGGAATGACAGCTGACGGAATCTCCATCGCAGCTTTAACTTATGCGGGTCGCCAACAGGTGACATCCCTGCTTCAATAGGTACCTCCCTGCCTAAGGTTGTGTATCCGTAGTGGGGACAGAATTGCAGGCAGCCTTTGATTCTCTTCCTTGGCAGGTGGGAGTGATGTTGTCGCACTGGGGTGAGACGTCGAATTCGAAATTCACCGGATGTCATTTCTATTCGATTCTCCCTAATTATGGGCGCTTATAACAACCTTTCTGTTACCCTCCCTAAGCCCTAAACCCCAAACACACCATTGTTGAGCATCTTTGCTCTTCGAGCAAGTGAGCCCAACAAGTCGTGACCTCAGCACTGTGCAGGTTCGACGACAGTGCTGAGTGAGAAAAGTCAATGTGCGCCTTCTTCAGGCACCAAATTTGCCGTATTCTGCAGCTATCTCAGAACCTGGGATAGGTACTAGCAAACATGAATTTTCCATTTTTCTTTACTGGGTTCAAGTAAATACCGAGAAAACAAAAAATGTTCAACCCTACAATTGCAACTTCAGAGCATGATGGTGGCACCCTTCTTGCTGCGCGTCTTGGCCTCCTCTTGGAATTGCATAGCCTGTCGGATGCGGGAGCCCGTAACCCTAGACACTAAGCCCCTAAACCCTAAAACCCCCAAACCCTAAAACTCTAAACCCTGAACCCTAAGCCCCTGAACTGTAAAACCCTCAACCCTAAAACCGTAAACCCTGTATAGCCTGTCGTATGCGGGAGTCCGTCGTGCAATCAAGCACCATGGGCAGCAGCGCCAGTGCCACGGTGATGCCGCTGAAAGCCTAAGACACCCAGGTTTCAGGGTTCAGGGTTTTGGGATCAGGGTGTAGGGGGCAACTACAACAAATTTCCATTGTCTTTTCCATTATTCCGCTAGAACAGGGCTTAAAACGGAAGCCCATGCTCCCAAAAGTACACCAACTCCTGCCCTGGATGCTATTTTTGGTATGAACGTAAATGCAATAACGGAGGATTGCAGTAATTCCAATCCCAAAAATATGGACCCCCTACAATTGTAGCGCTTCAATTTAATGACTCTGGACTCCCCATGCTCCCCAAATCCACTAAACCCCCAAAACTCTCAAACCCTATAGATCCCCAGATATCCGTACGCATCGCTTCATAATCCGCTTGGCAAAAATCTCCCTCAATAAGCCCTATATAACCCTATCTTACCTTCTAGCCCCTATATAAACCCAATGCACCTTAAACCCTAACCCCTATATAAACCCCTATATAAACCCAATAAAACCTTAAACCCTAACCTCCTAGAAAGCCCAATAAAACCTCTATCTTGAGCTATAATCTAAACTCCTAGTATCCACCCTCATAACCCCTATAGTAGTACCCTTTCCATTCCCCAGTATATAATCCCCCTTTAAGGAATTTAGACTCTAAACCCTAACCCCTATATAACCCTTTTATAGCCTTCTGTGAAACTCAGGCGCCAAGCCCAAGGATTCCAGCAAAGCCCAGTGGTTGTCACAGGCCACCGTGTTGTGAACACAGCCTTCCTGGGATATTACTAGGGTTTAGGGATTAGGGTTTAATTGTGCGGTACTTAAGTCAGGAACTTCCAACTATTTGAGTGATTACCCTCTGCAAGCTGAGAATGTAAAGGTTTATAGGATTTATGGCGGTTTGGGTTAGCTCAGCACCCCACCCACCCACCCCCCACCTACAAAAAAAAAGAAGAACACTACACATATTGTATGACTGCAACAGGGCCTATATTACAGGGGTGAGGATAAACAAAACCCCTTACCAAGGAAGATGAACATATCTACTGCATGTTGGGTTTCTGTTAGTTATTGTATAATGCCATATAATTATGATTTTGGGAACACGAAAAATTCATTTTTACATTATAACTAAATGCATGTACACACAAAAAACTGTAAGACTTTATTCAACAATAGCCCAGCTTCTGGCCAAACATCGTACCTTGAACATTGCTTTAATCATATTACAAGTGATGCCCATTTTTCTATCGAGTTAAGATACACATAAAGACTTGAAAGTTATTCAGCAATACCAAAGGCACCAACCATGAGTCACGTTTGGGAGCCGACTTTCCGGCCAACCATCCAGCAAAAGCAAGGCAGACAGCTCATCAATGACCTGGATATTTATCCAAAAGTCCACCTATGCACCGCGAAATACTGACGGCCGCCATAACCTCCTTATAAGACTTACACATAACTGATTTTGAGTCCCTTAGAAAACCAAATTTGAGAACACCCCACCTGAGTGTTGGGAGCCGGGATGCTTCTACCACAAAGTCCCTGGATGGGACCTGGGTAGTTGTCAAAATTATGGTCCCTTTTTGGGTCCCCTAAATTAGGCCCCGTATTAGGCCCAAAAAGGGACCATAATTTTGACAATCCCCCACCTAGATAGTCAGCTCCTCGGGTTCGGTTTTTGGCGCAACGATATACAGGATCCAGCAAAGGGTTCTGCTCACGGCAGCTGACCATGCGAAGGTTGGTGCAAAGGGCCCTCGACTGGGCTATGGCCCAACCAACAACCTGATTTTGGTTTAAGCAGCCTGCAGATATGCGATACCGTGTGGTGCAGGGCGCCCACTCCAAAAACACTGGTGCTATGCGGTAGGTCTCCATGAAGCCTGGAGGAACTGTTGGCTCCTCCTCGTTGCTGAAGGGCTCTCTGTTATTTACAATCTCCGCATCGCGATAGCGGCTGCGCCTAGGAACGTTGCGGTTGTGCACCGTCTTGTCCAGGGTCTCGGTGATCCCTTTAGTCAAGTTGAGTGCAACAAAGCCATCAAAGGCACGGAAATACTTGTAGGAGGCTTGCGTGAGCTCTGTGAGGCTTATGTCCTCGATGCCTCCCTCAGCCTCCCCAAAGGCCAGGCGCTCTCCGGGGCCAAAGTACATCAGGAAAACACTGGGAACGGATGTGAAATACGACATGCGATAGAGGACAAAGTACGTCTTCCAGTCCACGCCGGTCTCTGGGACCATCAGCCCAGAATAGCCAGCAAGAACTGGCACAGCCGTATAAAAGTGCGTGCCAACTAGGAAAGTTACGAAGGCAACCGGCAAAGCTTGGCCAGAGAGCCACATCTGTGGTGAGTTCCAGATTGTGGTCATCCATACAAGAAGACTGAAGTTCAGGACCGTCACCACCTAGGTTCCCCAGTAAACCCTTAATAATAAGGGTACCCTTTTTCCTACTCACCAGTTTTAATAAGCAGGTTACCTCAAAAGAGAAAAAGGTGACTATTTGCGGTACCTAGCCACAATTGTTAGTGCACGTCCCAAGGTGCTGTTCAAGGTTCGCTCCAGTGCTGACTTGGGCTTGGCCACCAGAAAATCATTTGGAATGGCTTTCTTAGTCCTGCCAGGGCTTTGGGGTGGTGCTGGTCGGTTTGGCACAGGCACCCCTTTGATGCCAGTTAGCTTTGACAGCTCCATGTCGATGGTTTTCTGGCGGTAGGCATCCTGCTTTTGCTGAGCTTCCTTGCGTAGCCTCTCCTCATCATCATCAGAATCTGACTCCACATCACCCGCCTGCAAAGCTAGAACAGGCATGGCGCTCCCAAATTCTCTCTAAGCCTAAATCTACGACATCCGGAATCTGGGCCAAGTGTTGCCAAGGTATGCTGGGGCTCCAGGCAGAAACAAATCATGCTTTCTTGGTTTGGCATGCTGCGCTTCTTGCCTACACAAGTCGTCATGACCACGACCCTAAGGTCACCCCTCACAGGTGAGAGTAGTCACATGCACGCAGACTTTGCTGGGACGAGGTCTGCCGCAATGTCCTGTGCTGCTCAGGAAGGACCCTGAGGGGCCGAGGCATTAGGTCACAGCCTATTTCCCCATGATGGCCCTGTAGTAAGCGGATGCCAGCGGTCCCATACTTCAACTTTCTGTAGCCCGAACAGCCCGAGGGCCCCTGAAAATAGCAAAGAGCCTTGGAATGCTGGGCTTGCCACGACGTCCTTCTGCGGTATCTGGATCTTCTTCATGGTAGGGGCCTTAATCTCTTCCATGGTTTTGAGACAAGAAAAACCCGACTTTTCATGCGCGCCTAAACCTCCAGTAGAGGATCCGCAGTTGAAGTGCACAGCCCCCTAAGTAGCTCATTCCTATGCACACCGTGTCACACACCGTCACTTCGCCCTGGGCAGCTGCTATTACAAGGATCCTCAAGGAGGCAAACGGAGGCAGGCAGAACTTTCGCAGGCCCATAAGGAGGGCCTTGTAAGTTTTCTCAGGTCTATGCAGCTTCCGGCACCATGGCAGTCATGGCGCTGGAGGGGGATTAAACGTTTCCAAGATGGAGTGTCCCTCGAGCGATCTTGACACGGGAAAACCTGAAATCCTAAACTTGCTTGTTGGAGTGTTCACTCTTTTACGGCAAGGTTCCTACTTGCCACGGAAGTGGCTGCATGTCTGTTTGGTTCTGAATTGTCGGCCTTCTTCTGGGAGATTTCGAACGAGGATCCCAAATATTTGGAAAGTACAAAAGGTGTCCAAAGGTCATGTTTGTGAGATTCGGGGCTCAGTCAGGGATGCGGCCTCATTGGCGTAGCATTAGGACTGAAGGACGTATGGAGATTACAGGGGACTTCTCGGGTCCCTGCGATATTCTGTTTGTTTTTAACTCCAAACTGCTCTTGAAGAGCTAAGCCCTAAACCTTAAATCCTAAGGGGCATAAATACCCTAAATCCTAAACCCTAAACCCTAAGGCCATACGTATTGTGCCCTTGGGTTTGTCCACAGGTCTGCATCTAGCCACTCGCTTGGAGCATCAAAACATCCGGCAGCAATTCCGATTTGTAGGCATTTTTGCAAGTGGCACTACTCATACTAGTACTAGTGCTTGCGATAATAAGAAATAACATAAATGGAAATACTGATAGGAAGCGCCTGAGGGCATGCTTCGAGGCCTTCTTGCTCTCTGTTGCAATTTCCGCATAACTGAAACATCTTGTTGTATGGGCTGTCACGCAGTAAAGTTGCCTAGCGGCCTGGGAAACCGCCAACTTTTTGATACATAGACAGTTGAAGAGCCCTTTGTTGGTGGTTGATGATGGCTGGACCAAGTAAATGCATCTTCTGGAGGGGGGCCCTCTTTGAGGTTTCTACTGCTTAACCGTCAAGACGAGGTAGCATCGGAATCCTGGCTTTAGAGACCGACTGTAAGGGCTCTGTCGAGTTGTCCTATCTTGCTTCGAATTGGCTTTGCATTTTGGGCGCTGATTCGATGATGTTCCCATGTACCGTTTTTGACTTCGCTTGCAAGGCGTCACTGTCACGTCCAGCGCGATGCTGCCCACCTAAAGGACAAAATGGCTCAAGTAGGGTTTCAACGCTCCACGTTTATGTCAAGGCTAAATGAAACCCCACCAAGGCCATCACAGGGTCCACCTTGGTCCTTTAGGACCTTCCGGACAGCTGAGCGGAAACAGGGAGAACCCTAGCAAGGACGGCACTCCCACCCTCGCTGCATGGGAGCACAGAAGCACCAGGACGCCCGTTCACAATCCTTCGCTTGGATAGTAACATAGGATCCCCTATTGAGGTCCCCCAAGTGGGGACCTCAAGGATATGATGATTTCTGCAGGCATCGAAATGCTTCTGGGAAGGTAGCCAATCCTTGCGAACACCGGCCCAAGCACTGGCTGAGAGCTAAGCCAACCTAGCTCCCATCCCGGACTCTGGGAGGGTTAGTAGATCCTCGCAGGGCGTTGGGATAACGTAGAAACCTGAATGATCAAAATGGGCTTTTGGGCTTTTCTCATCAAAGGCGTCTATAGAGACCGTCTAAGTGTTATAGTGGGATAGAGAGGGCGCATCAACGGAATAGCGGCACATATGAAATATCAAATGAACAACGAAATTGAAAATGGGTTTTTGTGGGCCACAGTCTAAACTCCTAATATCCCCGTGAATAACCCCTATAATACTCCTGTATATAATCCCTATATAACCCGCTTTAAGGACTTTAGACTATAGTTCATGTGGTGTTGGGGACGCCTTGATGATCTGAACAAGGTTGTTGGGGAAAGTATGCAGTAGTCCTAGGAGGATCGTTTTCCTCCTTCTTCAGGCTTCTACATTGCGGTGCCTAAGGGTGATACAAACAGTCGTTCAAACAATAGTCCCCTCCTCCTAATTCTGAAGACCTCCACCCCCATTATAGAAAGATACAATTTCAAAAGTCCTCGAGGAGAACTAGTGGAGCGGGGCCTTCAGCATCAGGGAAAGGGATTTGTTCGCTAAGCTAGGCCTCTAAGGGAAGAAACGTCACCGGTTCCCACCAAGTCCTGCCAAAGCTGTCAGACAAAGCTTTCAGACATTCATGGGGCTTGGCGTTTAGGGTTATGCGGTTTAAGTTTTGTTTATCCCCGCCGACTTTTTGTGTATGCACAATGTGCACGGTGCTTGAGAGACATTCCCTTGCAGTATAGGGTGTAGGACTTTGTAGGAATTTTCTGTCTATGAGCTGCATACGGGTCATGTCCAACGACTCAAGTGTTCCACAATATTTCTCCTGCCAACGGCCCGTCCCTTTCACGAAGGGTGGACATGGGTCAGGTGAACCCTGGGATTAGGATTTAGGGTTTAGGGAAAGACTCTGCCCCATACCCACAGTGTGTCCGAAGGTTTTAAAGGATACAGAGTGTGAGCTACAGCCTAAACTCCTGGTATCCTCCTCCAGAAGCCCTAAAAAACTGCCCTATATACCCCCTTTTACGGAGTTTAGACCACAGCTCATGTGTCAGTACACGAAAGGAACTAGGCCTAACGGCATGCGTGACCCTCGAAGGCACTCTCCCGAACCTGTTGATTATGGATTTACGGAGGGTTTAGGGTTTAGGGGTTGATTATGGATTCCCCTGCTACCCTCCTGGTTTCCCCCTTAAATGGGCCTTAATTCGTGAACCCAGATTATCAATACATAAGCCTAATTAAGAGGGAACCCAACGGGGGCTGGCATAGGGGGCGGGAAATGGAAGCCATTACTTCAGGGTCTAGAGTTTAGGATAAAACTTAACGCGCTGATGCTCTTTGTGCTTGTTCAGGAAACCCCTACCCATCATGATTAATCTATATTCCCCCCTTATATATGCTACGGTACCACTTTGGAAACACATACATACAAGCATACAAGCACACATACATACATACATACATACATACATACGTACATACATACATGCATACGTACGTACGTACGTAGGTAGATGCATGCATGCAGAAGTGCATGCATACATACCTATATATACATATGCACGCTCTTCACAAATATATTAGGGGTATGGATGGGGTTCATGGGAGCAAGTGATAACTAGTCCACTTCCTCCAATCGAAGTCTCAGAGCCGAATCCACGGATGCGTGAGACCCTCGGGTCGCTGTCAAGGATTTTAGTTTAAATTGCTATCAATATCCGGCTACATATACAGTTGAGGGTTTGGGCGTTTAGGAACATACATATCATATATGTATATATATATATACGTAAATGTATGCTGAACTCTAGCCCTAAACCCCAAACTTCCCCTAAACCATGAACCCTCAAGATCCAACCAGCTCCCTAGACCCTACACCCCCAAACCCTAAACCCCCCCCCCCTTTCCCCCCCCCAGCTGACCAAGGCGGGGCTTCCTTCCGAGGAACCCTTCGCTGCGCTTGGCGCGGCCCTTTGCTCGCAGGTCCTGACCACAAGCTGGCCTTTGGCCAGCTGGGAATACTACAATGAGGTTATATAGGGTTTAGGGTTTATGGATGATAGAAAAGAAAATGGAAACTACTATTTAGGGTTAAGGGTTTAAGAGAAATGGAAAAGGACATGGAAACTAATAATGGGTTATATACGGACTACTGGACGGATCCATTCCTAGCTAGCCAAAGGCCAGCAAGGGGGTTGAAGGGTAAAGGGTTTAGGCTTTTAGGATTTAGAGTATAGGGTGCCTGGGTCCAATTCACATAAACCTCTGTTTTATCTGGTTTTCTGAGGGGTGACTTAGCTGACCTACCCTCTGCACCCAAACCCGCTCAGTTTAGCTTCTGGAAGGATCTTAAGGTTTTGGGGGTGTAGCCTTGGGTCTCGTAAACGCTGAGCCCTGGTTTGTGGCTTACTTATTTGGCGGGTTTGAGGTTAGATGCATCTTCTAATCCTTAAATCCCCCCGCTGCAGAGGGGTATCATGATTTGGAGAAAGACCTTGGCCGCTGACGGGTTATGCTCCCATCGCTCCATTCCTGGTGGCTGTTAAGAAACTTAAGCCAAGCATGGAATATATAGTAGTTTCCCGAAATAAGGGAACCCCAATATAGACCCCAAACTACTATGATGCTTACTATGGGGACCCCTGAAAAGGTACCCCTAATTTTCGGAAACCCCCATATAGTACATCACGGGTCTTACCTGTAGTAGCAACTTGATTCGAGCTCCTTAGCAGCTAGCCAGATGCGGACAGACTCCTGGGCTAATTAACCACTATGGGCTATTAGCCCTTAGGGGTATCTTAATCTACCCTTAATAGGGTGCTAATAGGGAATCTTAGGGTCTAATAGCCCA